GACAGTTCATTCCTTCCTAGTCTCTATATAACTTTTAATTACGGCCGTGCCCTCTCCCCTTCAAAAGATGTCTAATACATGCTTTTAAATTCTGTTTATGTATCAGAAAATTTCCACAGGTACTTGTGGACAGGATCCCCCCCCCCCCTCCCCCAAATTCAACCCCAATGTTTGTTGGACATTTTTTTCCACAAATTATATTTATTACACTTAATCATCATGTGTAAAATAGGAAAAAATCGAGTACAAGTACCTGTGGAAATTTCTATTTGCTCCCCCCCCCTTCCCAAAAAACTGAAATTGTTTTCTACGGGCTTGACAACAGGTACTTGTGGACAGACCCCCCCCCCCCCCCCCACCCCCGATATTCAACCCCGGGGCTTGTTGGACATTTTTTCCACAAATTATATTTATTGCACTTACTCATCATGTGTACCATATGAAAAAATCGTGAAAACCCCAAAATAATCGTTCCACACAAAAAATGCCTCACTATGTATAGTTAAAACATTAATTTTTCATATTTCTTGATGAAATTAACATTAATAAAATCAACACAAAATTAATACCGAATTACATATCACTTGAATTTATCATAAAGCAGAAAATCTGTTCTGCGGGCTTCAAGGCCAGCTCAGGAACCTAAAGATGTCCTCATTTTCCAAATCCAGTACAGAACGTAAATTAAATGAAATAAATCACACGATCACTGGGAGGAACTCAAAGAAAGAAGACTCTTGAGGAAAAGATATTTTGATTCGACTTACAGACTGAAATAAACCGATATTCTCTTTTTGCCACTCTTTCCTGGTGCCCTGGGACTCTGAATGTAGGATCAGTATTTTTCTCACAGGTCCGTTGTACGGATTGTACGGGGGGGGGGGGGGGGCAGACCTTCTGAAAATAGTCTTTTGTTGTAGTTTTAATATGTAAATTTTGATTTAGTTGCTGCTTGCACCCTCCCCACTCTTTGTTTCTCTACGGCCATACATAGGCGAATCCCAGCAAAAATGTAATGACCCCCCCTCCAACACACACTTTTTTTTAAAATGTATATTGCGATAGGACTTAAAATTGGAAAACATTTTCTGTATATCTCTACATCGAAAAATATGAAACAAATATTTTTTTTTTTATATTTCCTTTTTAAAACAACATAGATAATTATGCATAGCTAATTAAATACTGAATTAAATATTTATCTTTGCAGACAATATGCTCTGGGTTATAGAACATGATGTGAAAGCGTATCGTAATGCACCTTGTAATCCTTTGGATTTTCAGATTTAAGGCCAATGCGAAAACCCAAAGACGCCGACATTTTATTATGCTACTGTAATCGAAGATCCGGGGGGCATACAGTTTTTGTCCTGTCCACCTGTCTATTTGTCTGTTAGACTGTGTTAGCCTCTTTGTCCGCAAAAAATTTAACTATGCCCATAAAATTTGATTGGTTGGAACTACTGCTTTCATATTTCTTATGTGTATTCCTAGTAACAAGGACTTCCTTCAGGTACCAACATATTTGACCTCTTGACCTCTAACTTGGAGTTTGATCCTCTTTCGCAAAATTTTACCAAACTATAACCTTGGCCAAAACTTTTGAACAGTTGGTGCTATGGCTTTTATACTTCACATCTGTATCCCTTGTGAAAAGTCTCCTCCTTGGGTATAAATATGTTTGACCATTTGACCTTGACCTTGGAGTTTGACCAACTTTTAAACAACTTTAGCCTTGACAATAACTTCTGAATGACTAGTACTAGGGCTTTTATATTACATAGGTAATTTTCTTGTGACATGGCCTGTCATTGTATACCTTTAATTTTGACCATTTTACCTTGACCTTTGAGTATGTCCTACTTTTGAAAAAACTTTAACCTTGGTTTTAACTTTTGAACAGTTGGTGCTAAGGCTTTTTTAATACCACATGTGTATTCCTTGTAACAATTAAGACCTTCCCTCAAGTACAAACAATTATGATCCCTTGACCTTTTAAAGAAATTAACCTTGGCCATAACTTTTAAACTGTTGCTGCTGTGGCTTTCATACTAGTATATATTTCACAGTATATTCTTTGTTCAAGACCTTTATTTGGGTAATAACATTTTTTTTATCTTTTGATCTTGACCATGGAGTTTGACTTGCATTTGAGAAACTTTTAACTTTTGCCATAAGATGCCATATTGGGGCATCAGTGTTTCAAAAATCACACGTTGTTCAGTATCCAAATCGGGCATAAAACATTTACAATGATCCTTTAAAGCAGTGAGTTGAACCTAATAAATTACGACTATAGAAATTATGATAATTTATTTCGATGTATAGTCTAAAAAAACGTTTATTATTCCTCTGTGAAAACTAGCTAACAAGTGAAAAATCACTAGTAAAATAGAATTTGATTGGCCGAGAAAGTCACGTGTCCATCATGTTTGCCCTGCAAAAAAAAAAAAAACGTCGTGTTTCACGATTGTGACGTCACAATTAAACGAGTGAGGAGTTGGAAAGTTTAAAGCGACGCTGCTAACTTCGTTCTACTAAAAATCAGCTAAAAATTCACCCCAAAAAATCACCTTAATTAATGGAATTGCATACAGATAGTAGATTAAACGTTCTTTGTTAAAATGTTTGCACTTTTCAAAATTCGTTTATGGAAATACAGCTAACATACGTCATGAGACGTCACAGTCTAGACGTTCCAAATGTCTCGTGCTGTTTGAAGAGGCGGATCTTAAAATTAAGTGAACAATGCACTCGCCCAACGGTCGCACCGTCAACATATTATCGTTGATTGATTGTGTCGATTTAAATGTGTAAAAATGTAATGGTGTTTGAATGTTACTGGTGTGATCACACAAACTTGTCACGTAGGAATTTTTTTTTAATGAAACGAGGCTATTGGTGTACCTGTAACTTACATCTCTTTCATATCGTTCTCATCAAATGCATGTTTGCTTTATTCATTGGATCTCCTTTGTAATTCCTGCATTTTGGTTAATTCGGTATTATAAACAATTTTTTGCATAATAGTGAGGGAGACATAAAGATTTCTTCGCAAATGAAAAATCATATTTCTCTCGGGCGTTGCCTTCGGGGAGTATGATTTTTCATGGGCGAAGAAATCTTCATGTTGCCCTCGGGGAATATGATTTTTTATGGGCGAAGAAATCTTCATGTCTCCCTCACTATCATGCAATAAATGCAAACTGTGAACTTGTCAATTCCGAAACACACAAAAGGGTATCGCTGATATCATACAGAGTGTATCATTGCCTTGATCAGGCCCATAGGAAGCAAATTCAGGGTTTTTTTTTTTTTTTTTTTTTTTGGAGGGGGGCACAGCCATACATTTTCAGTTGACAGTTGAGGGGGCACTACTACCATAAATTTCCTGACAAGCAAAAAAAGGTCAACAACTACCAAAAATTCCTTGACAAGCAAAAAAAAAAAAAAAAAAAAAAAAAAAAAAAAAAAAAAAAAGAAGGTTATCAGACGTTTTTATTGAGGTGGTACAAGCTATAGTATCTATGTCTACTATAGTAATCTATATATCGGCAAAATTATTGGGGGGCACGCCCCCCCCCCCCTCCCTCGGTTCCTACGGCCATGTTGATTAAATTTAGGGTCACTTAGGAAAGAATGTTTTGACTGGATGAATGGTCTGAAAGAACATGTGTTAACTTGTTGAGTCGGTAACACAAAGATGGGGTTTGCTTATAACCAGAGTGTGTCATGGTTTGATGCAAGGTCATTTGAACGAGTTCAAGGTCATCAACGGAGAAACAACATTCCTTAACTGTCTTTCTACTGGTGAGACATTGCAAGTTGATACCCCTTACAAGATTGCTTATAACCTTAGAATGTGGCATGACCTTGACTCAAGGTCACTTCTTCCTGTTCGCAGCTCAAACGGAAGACCTACTCGTTGCTTTGCAACGAGCTCTGCTCTAGTTTATTCTCTCTTGTTTGGAAACTGACAAAATTATTGTAGATTTATGAGAATCTGTCTTAGAAAAAGGGGCCCCAGAAATACTGTAACTTATGGCAATTCATCCTTTAAAAAGAAATAATCATTCTCTAAACGGTGATAATTTTAATTCATGTAGAACCGTTTTATATTTTTGGTGTTTATTATTCAACAATGATAACAAAATTCATGTGATCCAGAAATAAAATATGGAGGTCATATAAAAAAAAGGTACGCGGGTAGTTAAGGCTCCCCGAAAAATATCACAATACATCCTATGCACTCATTTAGCTGAACAACCAATATTTGACGTCATAATGGAATATGACGTCAAGGCACTGTAAACTAGAGCAATACTAATTCACGCTTCCACGTCGTCACGGGTGACGCAGTTGCCATCTCCGCACAGCCAATCAGAATCGCGGAAACTTTGTCCGCCATTACCTCCGACAAAACACACAGATGTCGGAGGTGCGAGATGAGATCGTTTAATGCAACATATCCGCTGTGTAACGAAAAATTGTGAGGTCCTATGCATGGGATAAATGTAATAATGATACGAGGTACCCGGAAAGAATATACAAGGTGAGATTTATTCATTTTCTAAGTCCAAAACACGGAAAAGCAAGTGTTTACGTTGCATAAACAGCTGATAAAGGCATGTCATGGAAGACCGAAACACAACTGTCTGTTAAAAAATAAGATATTCGGGTATATTAATGTCAAAGTTAGTGATAATATAATTGGCAATTTAAGAGAGCAATGTTTAGATTATGTTATATGACGTACAAAAGTGATTTACAAACGTGCTCATACGATGACTCAACCGTGCAAAGCTATAAATCTCGATGAACTGAATATAATTCTCGATAATAAATGAGAATGCTGCAAACATTTTTGTGAGTAATTTTACAATGCTTTATCTTTGAAACATTTTGTGATTGTATATAGCTTTAGGAATCAAAATTAATTGTAGCATTTATGGGCCATGAAATACTGACTGTATACAGCAAGGCCCAGTTCCCCAGATGTGTCACAGTCATCAAGAAAGGCTTCTTTGGAATTATCGAGACGAGTGGTAAGTTTACTGATATTATGTTGATAAAAGTATCTGTTATGAAGAAACTTAGTTACAAAGCCAGTATGTTTTTATTCAAGTGAAGATATCATTATGCCATGAAAACTCGACATAGTAAAATCACAGATGAATAGTCATTTCTGTACTATACCTTATCGATTGATATTTAGTCATGGTGAAAATGCTGAGGATAGTTAACAACAAATTTGTTTATGAGATCAAAATTTTAAAAGCATTTAAAAAATTCCAAGTCAAATGCATTATTTATAAAAAAAAATATTGCATGTATTCAGGATCAATGATAGAGCACACAAGGAAACAGAAAAGAATCTTCACCCGTGTGTCATAACAGACTGTCCAAATGAATTGTCAACAGGCTACATGTATGTATATACAAAAGGAGCATCACCACACCCTAGTTTTCCAGTTAGTTATGTAATGTACAAATGATCATGGAGAAAGGGACTTGCAAAAGAAAAGAAACTGTTTCCACAATGCATCAAAATCTCTTAAGCCACTTATTCTTGACATCAATGTTTTTATGCAGTTAAATACCAAGTAAATCAATACTTGAAGTAATATTTGAAGTATATCAAATTCAATACTTCTAAAATCTCTTTCTAATTTAATCAGAAAGCACATTTTAGATATTGTTATATTTTACTTTAAGTTATTTGTGTTATACTCATAGATCTTTAGAATTTTATTTTTCATTTTAAGGAATCTTTAGATTAATTTTACCATGTTTTAGAACTACAACAAAAAACAGAAAGAACCTATAGAACAGACAAAGTAATCGTCTACAACTCCACATAGCAGCAGGAGAAAAACAAGGCCCACTTGCTGTGAAGAAAGCAGTAAAAAAAATGTATATGTCAATGATGTGTGTATTATTTATACCAACATGAAACATTATTGAAAATTTATTAGATTTGTTGACATCAAAACAATGCAACTGTAAGTAGAAAAATAGGGGCAATACAAATGACAAAAGAATTGTCTCCGTCACTTTAGATATATTTTGTGTAAATAGTCCATAATTGTATATCAACACTGATTAGGCTAAGGCACAATTTGGGAATAAATGTGTAGCATCAATGTTTGGTGTGTCAGTGATTGACTATGTGCATGTGTTGACCTTATGCATGTTACACATATGTTAGGTTTAAAGATAAGTGATTGACTTTCATTGACTTCACTAATTTCAGGAGCAGACTTTTCACTTATCTAATGAACTCCATTAGCATAATACATGTTTGTTTATGTAATCTTATGGTATCCACAATGTGCTGAATAGCATAAACAAGTGTATAGTTCATAAATGTGATGAATAACACGAATAACATGAAATGTGTAGCACTGTCATACATGTAGATGAAATTCCCAAAAATATATGTCATACTGATATAAGTAAATTATTTATACAGTGATGTGATCATACAATGAGAAACAACTGATAAAAAATAAATATTCAAACATCTAACCCTATAAATGTATATCACTGCCTAGGGAAATTTGATAGAGGAAAACTAATACTTTTTTTTGAATTTGACATAAACGATTTTATGAAATGTACAATATCATTAAACTTTCTGTATACCTGAACCTTGTCTTCATTTTCTTTTGAACATCTTGTATCTTTTTATGGGTATGTTTGGATTGACATCTACGATATCAATACAAAATTGATTTCTGATTTCTCTTGGAATACATGTATGCAATGCTGAGGAAGACTTAAATTTGTTCTTCAAACCTAGCAATCTGAACTGTTGAATGCAATTTATTTGTACAACAATATGTGAACATTTTCCTTCACCCCTTAAGTTTGTGTGTCACTAGTACACGGACTGTTTTGATCATTAAACAGTCTTTTACATTGTAATTTCTACTTATGATACCCTAAAACTTCTAAGGATTTCTGAAATATATATCAAAGTCCATGCCTAGAACCATAAACTGAGAACAGACTGGGGCCTGCATTGCATTTAAAATGAATATCTTTATGTTTATTTTAAACATGACTAAAATCTTGAAAATTTATTTTGTACTAATGTACAAACACAGGAGGATTTTTTCTCTTCAAATTTATGTGAAATAATATCTGAATTTTTAACTCAAGTTTGTATCCCATTTATAGTTTTAAGGACCCTTTATAAACTTAAGCAGGTTTTTTCTTTTTTTTTTTTTTTTTTTTTTTTTTTTTTTTTTTTGACATAGAGAAAAATTGTATGAAGGTGTAAATTTTGAGCATGCCCAATGCATTTTCTACAAGGGTACCTTGCATTTACCCCCAGGAAAAATGGTTAATAAAAGATAATATTGACAAAAATTTCTATTGTTCACTTTATAACATTTGAAAAAAAACATCCAGTTGAAGAATCATAAAGTGTTCAATTAATTTATCTTGGCCTATTAAAATATTAAGAAATTTATTACAAATTGTAGTTTTCAAATTCTTTTATTTTTAGATCTAGGGACAGAATGTTCGAATTGCATAAAAATACCACAGAATCAGAACTCTTAAGTGTGTTGTGCAGAGAGCACAAAAAAATTAAAGAAATAAAAATATAATGATAAACTATAATCAGTTTGTCCAATTCAAAACGATTGGGGTATCTGGGAGAGAGGGGTGGTGATGAATGAGTTGCTACATATTTCAGAATTCTTCGACAAAAAATAATATCCAAACAGGGGAATGTGGTCCAAATTATATGACAGTTCTGACAATTTCAAGGGGTAGGAGAGTCCTGAATCCCTTCCGGATCAGCGCTAGCAAAAACAACCTTTCGAAATCGAGGAACACGTATAATCTGCATATCACTTTCTTGATTAGATATAGTCAGTAACGATGAAGATACATGGAATATATTGAGGGGGGGGGGGTCTCTCGGCGGTTGAGGTTTTAATGCTAACTAAACAACAAACAAATATTGTCAACTTTATTGTAAACATTGAAAATTCATAACGTTTCCTGATCTACTATGCAATACGTATCAGAACAGTAAATAGGCCTATTTCGGAGACAGTTGAACTGACCTTCGAGTCGGATGCAGTACCGATCTAGATCGGTAAAGGTTAAAATTATACTTCTACTTACTAAAATTTTGTGATTAAAATCTCTCTGAAACATATCTTACATTTTAACAAACGTTTCTGTATAAATTCATGAGCAAACAGGCCGATTTCCGTGCGATTTCTGTAACTCGCATCCATGTTGTTTATGTTAGTTTGTCGGAGTCTGCAACCACGTGACTTTCGTTGCCATCGGTGGGCGGAGCGTGGATGCGTGAATAAAAAATACTACAATAAACAATAGTAAAACTGAAGTAAATCAAAGTTTCAAAGTTATCACAATAGGAAATCAAAGTTTTCATAGCTATCACTATAGTGTCCTAGTGATCACTGTCAATAGTAAATCAAAGTTTTCAAAGTGATCACTATACTGTCATAGTTATCACTTTAGTGAATCAAATTTATCACTATAGTAAATCAAAGTTGTCATAGTGATCACATAGTATTTCAACGTCTTCATAGTTTTTAGTTAAGGTCCTAGTAATCACTACAGTAAATCAAAGTTTTCTAAGTTATCACTATAGGGAATCAAAGTGTCAACGTTACTACTATAGTTAACCATAGTTTTCATAGTGTCAAGGTTATCACTACAGTTAACTATAGTAAACTACAGTTTATAAAACTATAGTTTACTATAGTATTTTTATTAGGGAGAGTATCATAAAGTTCACGTGTTAGTACAGCGTTACTTTGTATACATTCTCTAGATTGAAATTATGTGTATTCAATGCCATATTGCAAAAAAAAATTGACTTTGAAATGCTCCCATTTACAGGATAGTGGTAAGAGGTTAAATGTGTATATGTGTATATAACAGGCTTCTGCAAGGGATAAATAAGGATTAGCTTTAAAAAAATGTAAAAATCCATAGAAGAAGAATGATATTTAAATTATTCTGGCTTGAAATGGAAGTGGTATCCTTAAAAATGACGATGAAGAGTGAAGTATCCCCTCAAATTTGTGGTAAAATTGAAATTCTCTTGAAGTATTTGGTACACGTATTAGACTTTAACTGGTCTTAACCACTTTTTACATACTTAAAGTAACCGGACCATGTGATATTGCAACTATCTTGTTGATGTGCGGTTGAGAGATTTTCTGTTTTTATAATCATAGTGTACATATTGAAATCAAAATTGAGCTGGAAATGTAATGAATTATTTTGAGTGAAATCTGACAAAATAACATAACAGAAGCATAAGTCTTAGTTTGATATACAAAAAATAAAGCCAAAATTAATAAAAAAATATAGAATGAGTATTTTTTTCCCGTCCTTATGTTTATAAAAATGCAAATTTTGGGATTCGAGAAATGTAAAACCTATAAGTGTAAAAAAAAAAAAAAAGCAAAGGATTTTCTTTGCGTTAAGCTTATCACATAACATGTACTGTATGAAAACCTTCATGTATGTAAATTGCATGTAAGGCCAAAAATATACTCTTGTTTTCCGGTTACCCGACCTCCTCTTTATTTTATCTCCCGACCGTATAAGTATTTAAAAGGCAAATTCTGTGATCAGCAAATAAAGAGAACCTTTTTACTACTATTTTCTTTGAGAATCAGAGTACATGCAAGAATTAAAATGCCAGAAGACCGAAGAAACTTTAGGCACAATTATTTTCATGTTTCATTACAAATCTTTCTAATGTAGCCTTTTTTTAACACATGATTTCTCCAGTCTTTAATGATTTCTGAAAAAATATTTTTAAAAATATTTTCCTCCTTTCTACATTATTTGTTGTCGTCTTGGGAACACTTTGTGAAACTTTCAATGATAACGCACATAATTATGTCTCCAAAACTAAAGAGGGCAGCATATTGTGATTGCTATAGTCCTAAACCTTTGTCCACGAATGTGCTTATTGATGTATAGCACAATCCTGATGACATGTTGAACAAATAAGCATCAAATGTTATGCTAATTCATGCATTGAGAAAAATTCTAGATGAAATATATTATTTTAATTATGTTGAAAATACAGGTCAAACATATTCACTATTGTAATACATCATTTTATATACTTACAAAAGCATATTGCCATGAAGCAAAATTCTTCCTGATCAATTCAATCACAACTGTGATAACGTATTAAAATAAAGGTATACTAATATATTGTTACACTTGAACAATGCTTGATTCATCAAATACATTGATTCCGTTTAAAAACTCTAAAGGTTATTAATAATAATTTTTTTTTTTTTTTTTTTTTTTTTTTTTTTGACTTTGCAGCATTGAAAAACAAAATATATTTTCTGATCATGCAGTTAAAGCTAATATTGACACTGTTTAACTTACATATGGTGTTTTCATCCATTGATGATTTTATACTTGTTACAATTTACATATTCATGCATAAGTATAGTGATACAATACCTGTTTTTTAGCAGAAAAAAAATGACTATTTATCTTAATTGTTCCTTAAACGAGCCAATTAAGATTTTTAAAAAATCTGATTTTCCAATCATTATCTACAAAGAATGACTTCAACACCTCTATAATTTTTTTTGATGATAATGATATCCTATTGATATAATGAAAGTCATTTCCATAGTTTACTTTGACATCTCTAATTTCTATAATAACTCCTATTGCAAGTTGGTAAACGTTATGATATTCAAACAATGAACATTATAAAACGAAAGTGGATTTCTTATTTTCTTACTTCAGTAATAATTTCAGGAAAAAAAAACCCCTTTATATTGTCAAATTTTTACCTGTAAAGGTCTCTCTACGCCTCTTCAACGAAGTGCTTTTGATATTTATAAATGAGAGAAGTTACTACTGGCTTAATTTAACTTCAATGGCGTGCTTTTATAACCTTCACCTCGTTTTAAATAGCCCATTTTACCTGTATATGGAGCACACACATGGGTGCTTTCAAAAGGAGCATCGACACAGATGCATTCCCGTTTTGTTTACAATTTTTAATTTCTTTTTTTTTTAGAAAAAGAAAATCCAGTTCAATAATTCTAACTAACGCAAAATTCTCGCATTCGTTGATATAGGGCAATTTCATAACCTTACAACGAACACCAGGGGCTGGTGTTCATAAATTGTTTACTTTTACCGGATGTGTTCCGTTTGCTATCACTGAACATTTATTGACAATTATCACAGTTTTTCCATTTT